GCCCAATAAAAAACTTCTGTCTACTGGACAACCGAACCCGTGTCTGTCGTTTTCTGACAACCTCATTAATATGTTGATATCTGAGACTCCACTGCATCACTCAGTATGTACAAGAACTAATTTTACTTTGAAAAAAGTGTACAATAATATTATTAAAGGCTTTACATGAGCCCTTGGAGTGGGCAATCCATATTATTTATTTATATTTCAAATTTAGTCACCACCCACCTCCCTCAAAGAGTGACTCTGGGCAGTTTACAATAAAACCACAATAAATACAGATTAAAATACAATAAAACAATGCACAAAACAATATTTGATGAGAACTCTGATATGTGATTCCAAAAAAATGAAAAATCCTGCTAATAGTGTTAGTTTCCTTTTAAAATAAAATAAATTATTTGGTCTTTGACTTTGCCTGGATGAGTCACAAAGAATGAAATTCTTGGGATAAGAGGCTGATACCCCAAAGAAGAAGGAGAATATCCATTAAAACAGAGTCATTACTAAGAAGGCCATCTTACATTAAAGAACATGCTTTTGCATTGAAAGTATGATTCTGGTGGAGCATAGGAATGTTTAGAATTGAGCAGTTTGAGGCATAAATAGTTCTGGGAATGGTGCATATTATACAGAGACTTCTTTAGTGTGAAGATTGCAGATATTGTACATCATGTAGAAAATCTTGTAGGTAATGCTGGAGATGGGCTAGTGGTCATGGAGCACATCAGCACTAATGCTATGGGGAAACATACATGCTACCCTGGAAGCCAAATTCAAATTAAGTTGTTGAAATTCAGCATGCTCGACTGTGTAGCTTTCTCTGACCTATTCCAGGGATAGGGCCAATTAATGTGTGGAGGAGACTGATGACAGGAGGATAATTCAGATTTGCAAGGCACTAGGATATCTGTGCAAAAGAGTTGGCTTCATCAAGAAGGAATCACATTGCTGGTGCTTTATACTAAGATGTTGGCAGAAATTTAAAGTATTCTGGAGGAAAAGTTGACAAGAATTGACTATGCAGTTTGGAAGGATCATCCCTAGACAGAGTGAAAATAATTTTGATTGTTCAAATAGACAGTATAAATTTAGGAAATGGGGAAAACTGATCAGAGCCAGAGAACAAGGGCAATGTGATCCCTGCCATTCATTGGACAATGATCTCCAGACAGTACCCAAGAATTCCAACATTAGGTAAAAATAATTTTGTCAAGTTAAATTTTACAGGAGTGATTTATTTTTATGTTGCTGCTCACATAAATCACACAAACTTGTGCAATAGTACCAAGATGACTGAAAAGAATGCCAGTCCCTATCACAAAGCTGTAAGGGCCAAAATACATGCCAGAGGAAATCAAAATAGGAGACTATGTTAATATACTGGGCATAATAGTATCAAGATAAGAGTTAGTTAAGTATGTCAGGTTCTGCCTGGCTCAGCATACGCCATTCAAGCTAGCCGCCATTCCACCTAGCTAAGTTCAAACCCGCCTGGTCAGCTTCCTTGCCTCAGGCACAGGCGATTGAAAGAGGAAGCAAGTAAACTGCCGACAGGTGGCGGCAATGATTGAAAGAGGAAGCAAGTAAACTGCCGACAGGTGGCGGCAATGATTGAAAGAGGAAGCAAGTAAACTGCCGACAGGTGGCGGCAATCAGCCCACAGCAGGATTCAATTACTTTGTAACAAGCAGGACTTTCCCCAGCCACCGCAGGCAACCAGCTGACAGTAGAGACAAAGAGCTCCGCAGCTCAAGCCGCGCTCAACCGCCCATCAAGCACAATCGTGAGTCAGCCTCATGGGACCTGCCTCGCAAGCAAGAAAGCCGAAAACAAAGGACCCTGGCTGAACCTGCCATCGGACCGAGGCGGGGAGACCCAGGGGCGAGGGGTGAGGCAAGGATGGGCAAAGGCGGGCAGGGGCGGCCAACAGGTGGGACTTGCTAAGCGTGGGAACGGGGAGACTATAAAATGCTATGTAACCTGTGCCAAGCCAACCCTGGCTTTGTTTGTAACCACCTGCATTATACCTGAGTAAATTGCTTTCATACGAGCCTGCGTCTCATGGAGTCTTTATTCAGCGATGAATGCGGCAACTCTTACAAAGTATCTATAGAAAATTTTGATTCATCATTTTAATTCCAAACAAGTGGACAGGAAACCTATGTGAATACCTTTTTTAACTAGCTATAACACGCTAGTCAATGTGACTGACAAGAATCAATTAGAAACTGAACTTTGTAATGGTGGAATTATTAATGTCTAGAAAATCAAGAGCAGAACTGACATGGCATGACGTGACAATATATATCGAACCTTGGAATATGTGATGTTATGTCTAAAGTTAAAATAAATACTATTTTCTTGTTAAGTAATATGTATGATCCATTAACTTTCCCACTTACTTCCCAAAGAGGCTGATTGCAACACGTATATTATGTTCATGCTAAAAATGGATCCTGTGCTTTCAGGAGACACTGCTAAGTCTCATACTGAGCAATAAAATTTTGAACAGTAGAACATCTTTTTTAAAAAAAAAAAAAAAAAAGAAGAAACAGATTAACAGATAAAACATAATTAAAATAATTGAATTTATTTCCAGATTACAGATGGCTTTGAGACAATGAGATTTCCATATTGTGATAGAGTAGTCAAGAGATGCCACATCCCCATTTGTTCCCACAGGGAAAGGATATGAACCCATCAAATGAATAGATTTTTTCTTCTTTAATTAAGGGAAGGCCATTCTGGCCTTTTAGTAAACATTGAGGTGGAGTGGACTGCAAAAACTTTTGTTTGGAACTGTCTTTCCAATTTTTGCTAACTCAACATGCCCAACATAAAACCATTGCAAAAATGTGTTGGAGTGGGCCTTAGAGTAGCTGAAGACCCTCTGGCATTGTCTAAGAGCACAACTTCTAGTGGCAGAACAGAATGTGACTATTGTCATTAGTGCTTATGCCATGCTGCAAAATCTCTGTGAGCTTAGGGACATAGATGACTTTGTACTGTTCCAGTGCCTGGCTACCTAGTCATTCAGCAGCATGGCACCATAACTCGGGTGCCAGGCTTCAGGTCTCTTCTGCTAAGCAATATCATCTTGTTGGTTCCAGGAGTCATGTCTTCTCTGTTTCAGTGTCTGCTCTGCGGAACAGCATCCCTCGGATATTTGGATGGCCCTCATCCTGTTAGCTTTTATAGTTTAGGTAAGTTTGTTCAGACTCAAGAGCTCCATCTCTTTTAAAAGCCAAGGTTAAAGAGGAGGAGCCTGATCAAGGCATTTCTTACCTCTAAGAAGAAGGATGACAGCAGTGAGAAGGCACTCCCTAATCCAGAGCCAGAAGCTATGCCCTGCACCCAGTCAGAGGAGAGGGTTAAATGGCATAACTGGGAGCATTGAGACCATTCCAGTCACAGCACCCCTCCTCCCACCATCCACTACACCAGCAAAGCTTGCTAAGGAGAGGTACAACTTTTAAGCTGGTTATAAACAATGGAGATGTAAGAATGGAGACAGCAGCTTATCTTCATGATTTCTCCTTCATTTTGGTAAAATGTGTGCTATCATTGCTAGAAAGCCACAGTGGGATAATAACAGAACTAATTTTAAGTTTGGCTTTCCATTGTACAATCTGAACAGTTGCCAGCAAACCGTTTGAACATCAGGAAAAGTGTGATATGCCGTGATTAAGGAAAAGGAAAGCTAGAAGCTTGGAGGCTATTCACATAGAAGCTCTGTACTGCATCTGAATCTGTGCCTACTTGCACTGCAAGCTTTCAGTACCAAACATCTCAGTGAATGGCCATATGTGGAAATCAGATGATGAGTTATAGCATAATCAGGATAAGAAAGAAGGAGGAGAAGCAAAGCAATGAACCACAGTGAAAGCATAAGCCCAAAGGCAATAAACCTTACAATAACCAAGGGATGTGGTATGAAATAGAGGGTGCTCAGGAATACCCCAGGAGATTCAGAAGGCAAATCTAGGAAGGGTAGTACTAAACAGCTAAGATACTTGTACACCAATGCACAGACTATGAGGAAGGAACATGGAGAACTTGAAGTCCTAGTGGGATGGGGTGGGGTCGGGTGAAATATGACATTCTTGATATTACTGAAATGCGGTAAGACGGAACTGAATACAGTATTGGAATATAGTACTGGAATGATATAATCTGATTGAAAGAAACAAGTTCAGCAAAAGAGGAGAGGGTGAATTTAAGCAAGAATGGCTTCCATATGTATTACATGCAACAAAGTAAATACAAGCATTTAGAGTATGGTTTTTAAAGCTGTGATAGAATGTATCTACAAGGAGGAGAGTGATGTGGGAGATCAAGGCTATCAGGGGGAGGGGTGTATTCCAGGAGGAGAAAGGAGGCAAAAGACAATACAGCCCATAAGAGGAGCGTGGGAAGAGTAAGAGATTCAGGATAGCCACTCCCAAGAATCTCCCAGGGTATATCCACTAGTTGCTGTAGTACTGATTTAGTTTGGCAAGATTCTATCTATAAGGTGTAAGCAAATAAAGGAACTATACTCAACTAGACTGTTCCACTGTTGTTCTTGGGCTGGGCCTGACAAAAGCTTAGGTCAACAGGCACTGCAAGTCAGTTGGAATAAAAAGAAGGGGGAAGTCAGAAATTAAATATTTATATTATTTTTAGAAGTGTTTTTTTCTTTTTTTAAATTTTTATAAACAGTGATATAGTGGATATATTGGTATTAAACTGAAAAATTTATACTTTTTGATATCATAAAAATAACTTAATATACTCTGCATGGAACCGTTACTGTCATATTGAGTAATAATTGCACAACCTCAGTACTTATCTGTTTATTCACAGATATCTCTTTTGAAAATATACCTTTGTTTTAAATAAAAGGATTATAATAAGACTAAATAATGATATTAAAACAAGTGCAGAGTACTATTTATCTACTTCTTAAAAGAATGAGATGAATATATATTTCTATCTATATTTGTAGATCTGTATATGCTGTATCATTGTTAAATAAAGTTTTTTTAAAATGGGGAAAAAGTGGGGGAAGGGTGGTCACATTATACATAAAGAATGCCTACACATGAATGGAAATTTCTGCAAGACACCAACAGTGAAAAATTTACTGAATTTTTTTCACTGGGTGAAAATCAAGGGGAAAAGAAAAAAAATGACACTTGTGTGTATTACAGTTCACCCAACCAAACAGAAGATAAACATGAAATCTTCAAAAATTAGATGACCAACATATCCAGAAAAGACACCCTTGTGGTAATGGGAGGATTCAACTAACTAGATATCAAGTGGGAATCAAACTTTGCAGAAAGTGAGAGGGCAAACAGGAGCTTGACATGTCTTGCAGACAACTTCATTGTCATATATATAACATTATGCATGCATCTCTCTCTCTCTCTCTCTCTCTCTCCCTCCCTCTCTCTCTCTCCCTCCCTTGGAGAGGGACCCTGGGAGAGATGACCATGTCACCCTAGAATTCACCATACTGCAGGCAGGGATGATTGAAGGTAATCAGATTTAATGTTTTAAATTTTGAAAGAGCTGACCTCAATAAGTTTAGGGGAAAAGTAGGAAATATTCCATGGATGGGAATCCTGAAGAGAAAAAACATTTAGGAGGACTGGGAAATTCTGAAAAATGAGATAAATTAAGGCCCAAACACAAATTATATCAGAGAGAAGGAAAAATGGGAGACACTTGATGAAACCTGTGTAGTTGCATAAAGAGCTGAGAAACAAAAAGACAAGTTTAAAAAATGGAAGAGAGACATATAACAAAAAATAGCAGACAATAGCCCAAAACAGTAAGGATGGGGACAGAAAGACTTTAAGGCTGAGGTGGGTCATGAAACTTATATACAAACTATCCTTCCTCTGTCTCTCTCTCTTGTGGACACTTTAACAGACAGTGGTGGAGGAGGAGGAGGAGCAAGGGACATCTGTGACAGCTCACAGCACCTCTCATGCTGCAGAATCCAAGCATAAGTGGATGCTGATTCAGGCCAAGGGGGATTTCACTGATATGGCAAAGGAGGTGTGGGGGGGGGGCATGCCAGGCATATTTACCAGAATATTCAAGCCTCAAATGTAGCTTCATGTTCATGAATAGTAGAACCAACAAGAACCAGAGAAGCACAATTTCACAGTGTTTGGCTTGCTTTGTATACTGTAGAGCTTTCAGATTGCCAAATGCAAAAATAATGCTTTGTCTGTTAAGCCTTGCAAACAGATGTATTTTTAGTATTATGTTGTTCATAGGCCATGCTTAAGTAAATAAATTCCTACTGGCTCTTTAGATCCAATTCTGTCCTTGTCTTGCAGGCAGAGGCTACAACAATTATACAACTGTTGTTTTATTGTTTGCTATGAAAATATTTTAATGGTTTAATTTTCTCTTGGCTAATCATCAGTTGGCTGGGCAGTAGGTATCATTCAGCATGAACCACCACTACTTTTATGGCTGTAGGAGAAAGATGCAAAAGATGCAGCCTGGAGCCACATGTCATCCACTGTATCCCTCTTGTGGCTCCCAGGGCCAGTCAGAATAGGTAGAGCCACATATTTCAACTCTCACTTTTTTTTAAAGACTTGAGGGAGGCTGAAAGGGTGAAATGGGCGCCTTAAGCCTTGAAGATGCTTGAAACACTCATGTAACTTCTTAAAAATCTGAACCACTCTCAAAATAAGAAAAATAAAGAGAGAGAGCCAGTTTGGTGTAGTAGTTAAAGTGTTGGCCTAGAAACCAGGAGACTGTGAGTTCTAGTCCTGCCTTAGGCATGAAAAACCAGCAGGGTGACTGGCCAGTCACTCTTTCTCAGCCCAACTCACCTCACAGGGTTGTTGTGGGAAAAATAGGAGGAAGAAGGAATATTTGTATGTTTGCCGCCTTGAGTTGTATATGAAAAAAAAGGCAGGATAAAAATCTAAAAAAAAAAAAGGATCATTGCCCTGCTCACTTTTGGAACAGAGCCTTCAGCATGCTGCAGAATATCTGATATGGCTGTTAAGCCAACAGATGTTGCAAACTCCTGCACACTTCTGTTGGCTTAATAGTCATAACAGTTTTTAGGCTGGAAAACAAGGGAACAAGAAGCTTCTTTCAAGTTTCCATTGTTGCTGAGGTATTCACAAATACCTGTAACATTTTGAATGTTGTTTTATTGGAACATGGAATACTCAGAATATTCCAATGGAATTAATATGCCCTGATCTATGAATCATCTTCAGAAGATGAGATTTTTAGAAGACTGGACATGAAGAACAAGTTCCAAGCATCAGTGGAGAGAAAGAATCATGGGTTACTGCTCCTGATTCTGTCCCTGATAACTTAAACACTAAGCCAGATATCCGTCCATGCAGTGCACAAAAAAGTCATTATGTTCATATAGGACAGAGGACAGATGAGAAGTTACCAAAGAAAGCACCTGATATAGGCTGCTGTACTCAGGAATAAGCTGGTACCTCAAGTAGACTGGTTCTAGGTTGATCAGTGTTAGTTGTACTTGACAAGAGAAACTCCCGTGACACATGTGGTTCACAAAAGAGGTTTACTCATGCGTAACATAACAGTTACAAACAAAGTCAGGACTGGCTTGGCACATTTACATTGCTCCTTTGTAGTTGTCTCAATCCCCCCCGGGGGCCCCGTTGCTAGGTTACATATTACAAATTAGA